GGCAGCGGCATCCCCATGCCCCGTGGGTCGCGGCCCTGGCGTGCCGGGAGCTAGTGTCACAGGCTCTGCCAGGAGTCGCGCAGCGTCCTTTATTTAAGTGAAAAAAACAGTGTTTGGGGAGGGAGGTGCGTGCTGGTGCCCCCTGGCCGACCTCCGAGCCCTTCCTGAATAACGTTTTTTCTTCGTTCTGGGCGAAGGTAGACGCTTGGTAGAAAAAAAAAAAAGTGCACTTGAGGGAAATCTGTCACTCTGTAATGGTACTGAGATTTCGGGTTTCAAAGTGATTAACCACGTAATTTGCGGAATTAGGCACCTCGGTGGATCGAAGAACTTTAATCATTAAATAGTTGCTATAACCATTAGAGTGGGTGAAGTCCACTATGCTTGCAGTTCTGCTGAAGATACAGGTGTGCTTTTTCCTTACCTGCTCTGTTTCTAAACCAAATGTACTTGATATTTGTAGGGAATTAATATGAGAAGAAACCGCTTTGGCCCGCTCTCATGTTCTCCAGGCAGCATTTATTTCAGAGCAAGTCTATTTTTCTGTTGCGTACATGTTCACAGAAAGCATGCAGCGCCTTTCCTTCTTGCCAGCGGCAATAATTACGGTACATCAGTAAGAAGATGGAATCGTTCAGACGTATCTCTGTAAATGCAAAGGTAGGTGAACTGCCGTGGCACATAGCAGTGGCACAGCAGCACGGCTCGTGACTGCAGCCGAGACAACACATCTACACAAGGTTTCTACACAAGATTGCTGCCTGTAGCAGCAATTCCCTCCAGCTGCCGTGGTGATAAAGCAGAACGGTAGGAGGCATTCGCTGTTACTGCAAAATAAAGCTATAAATGTTACTTCAGTATATCAGAAAAATATTGCTATACTCGCAGACCTGTCCTACAGGAATAGCTGTTTCTCAAACCACTTGCGCTGTGCGAATTCAGGGGCACCGGTGGGCTCACCCACGCTGCCGTGTTTGTTTTCATTGTAAGTAAAAGCAGAAACTTGCCTAATGTGCATTGCATCTGCTTGGCTGTTGTATGCAACGTTGCCTGGCATTTGCACGGCAGTAATTCCTGACATTTGTGAGTCTGCAGGCAGTTGTCTTTTCATCTACGGATGATTCAGAAATTGTTGCAGTGTAGTTTCTTTGATACTCTTTCTTCAATGATGCCTTTCAAAGCCCAGCGCTTGCAGTTGAAAGGCAGAATTGTGACTACTGAAGTACCTCCTTTTATATCATCTGCCGGTTTGCATTTTGCAGTTGATTTCTGCACTTGGCTATGACGGCAGATAATGTGTGCAAGAAGCGCTGTACAGATGGAGGCTGCAATTGCAACTGGAGTCAGCCTGTTCAGGGCCAAATACACCCGGACACGCTGGCGATCAGCACCCATTTTCATCTTCTCTAAGGGAAGCAAAGCCGCTACCACTAGCCACAAAGAACTGCTGGCGCAATCGACTTTCTGTCTTTGTGTCAGAGGCCAACTCATTAATTTTTTTTTCTCTTTCCAGTATCATCTTCCAGATCCCCTGTTTCGACCTTCTCCATGTTGAAGATTTTTTTGTGCGTTAACCAGCGGGTAGATTCACTGGGCTCTGGGGACAGCTTCAGTAGGCTGCAGTAGCTTCAGAGCAATCCCTTTTGCTCACCGGGTGTCGGGGACCGATTCGTGCACCAAGAGGTGTAAGCAGTGTAGTCGCAGGCCAGGAGAGGACAGCACAAACAACTTTCTGCTATCTCATGATTCAAGGTTGCTTAATTCTTGGCTTTAATCTATCTGTTGCCCCATGGAAGTCCTTGGGTTCTACTTAGAGATTATAAATGAAACAAGCGCTGAAAGTTACATGCGTAGCATCCAGAAAACTTTGTCCTTGCAGGCTCGCAGTGTTCACTGATCTATGGAGTTATAACCCTCTTGGTTGCAACAGTGAAATCTGCAGAGAAGGATTAAGAAGCGGTGGATGACCTTAAAAACTGGGGTAGCAGAAATGGTGAAGTAACACAAAGCACAAAATAAGGACTAATACAACATCTGCTGTACTTTGAGCTGGAAAGTGAAAAGGAGGGTAAAATGAGCTCTGAGAGGTATCGTTGGCCCAGCAAGGTGCTATGGCTGAAAGCAAATGTAACCCTACAGTGTATCAAGTAGGGTGTTTTCAGTGGTTCATATAGAAAGTTACACTGACCCTTGAGTGTAATGTCATTTCAAATACAAACTACAGTCTGGTCACTCCAGTGACCAACATGAATTCATATTCAAACTGGCAACCTAGTGTCAACAGGACACTAAGGGGAGCAAAGAGTCTTTCCTGTTGCAGGTGATTAAAAAGAGATTGGCTTGTTTAGCTTGGCAAAACAAAGCTTGAGAGGGGATCTTGTTTCCATCTGTAAACAAAATAGGAGTGTAAAAATAGGCAGAGAAAGAAAAAAGAACCACTGTTTATGCGAAAGAACATTACTGATAGAGGAATGTTTGGTGTAAAGTGGCCATAAATAAATGTAGATTGGAAACGAAAAGGTTTTTACTCAACAGAACAGTCCTTGTGAAAAGCTTCCCAACAGGAATCAGAAGGGATCAAAAACTGAAATCAGTTTTTAAATGCATGTGGTTGGCTTGTGAAAGGGATTTTACAGTGCAGTTACCTGCAACAGCAAGGGACTGGTTCCTGTGCCCTTGCATTCGTTTTCCACTGTGGAGGTTTTTCACTTTCTCCCTTAAGCATCTGGGACTGATCACTGTCAGAGAAGGACTAATGAGCTAAAAGGACCACAGGTGCAATCCAAAATAGCATCGAATAGTCCTGTTACTTCAAATGTTTTTAACACAGTGACTGTATAGAGTTGAGGGGGATTAACAGCTGTTGGAGTGATGAGTACCCCAAACTGCTCTTAATTGTAAATGGGAAAAGCTGAAAAACTCCCAGGCTGGAAAAGAATGAGAGTCAACAGTGTATGGATGCTCTCCCACTTTGAAGGGATTTTAAAAAAAAAAAAAAAGGCTGTAATGGCATTCAAATGAATATGCAAATGATAAGGCGCATTTGGGGCCATTTCAGTGCTGTTATATCAGGGATAAGTGTGTCTTAGTGGTTTTAAAGGGAAGGCAGCACCCAACATACCAAAGAAGGAAAATAAAGCAAGGTTATTATTTTCCTCATCAGATGATCATTTTAAGTGTTCAAAATCTTTTCTTTTCAGGTCGATGCATAGGTGATGTCCTTCTCTGTTATTTTGTTTCCTGTTTAGTGGAGAAATCAATGATGACTGTGTCATTTCTTCCATTATACTTGTTCATGTATGAGAACAGGTATATTATTTGTAATGAAGAAACAACCACTGAGGAATAAAGCTAAAATGATCTTACCCATAGATGGCAGTAACTGCTAATAGTGCTGGCTGTCAGTGCCACTCCAATTCAAAGTCTTAGGACCCAGACAAGGTTTAAACCAATTGACCTGATCCCCTAAGTTGCTAAACAGCCACTTCAGGGATCTTAAAATGGGGTCATGCACCAAGCTCCTTGCAGAAACCACTAGCAGAATGTGTCTCTGTGGAAGCTGGTTCAATTGTCAGAAATAACCCCACTGTGATTCCTTGAAGGAAGGAAGTATAATATCTATTCAACTGCTATGGTTGACAGCAATAAGATATGTCATCTGTATTAGAATATTAAATCTTGCTATGTTCTCATCAGACACATTCTACCTGTAGAATGAACAGATAAATACGCTCCGTGTTTAAAGCTATCAAAACTGAGTGCCTTACAATGGAGAACAATTTGGGCCACTATCCCTTCGTGCCAACCCAAGAATTACCTCGTATACAAAATATTGATGTATTCACCACCTTTGATAAATAAAGGTAGGAAGAATCATTCTCATGGCACAGAAGAGCAGTGGCAGCTGTTCCCGATTGCCGTATGCAGGAAGACAGAAGTAAGGGAGGAGATTGTCCATAGGAGTTACTTATTTTCTTTTTATCTTTACATATAGGGCATCATCTAAGTTGCAAACAAGAATTTCATTTCCTCCCAACCCTGGTCTTACTTCTTTCCTAAAGGAGTCTTGCAGTGGGATTGTCAGGCAGGACTTTCCTTCCTGCTTTTTAATCACTCCTTGGAGATCTGACTCATACCGGTGGAAGTCTCGGAACAAAATTTATGAATTTTGGGACAAATTTCCAAGCAACTGAAAAGGGGAGGAGTAGATTGGAGTTTGGGGGTCATCTCTACAGGAAGGAAAGAAGCTATGGACGGTTGTGTGTTGGCTTTTTAACTTTCTGGAAATGCATTTATTATTTACATTTTTCTCCAAATAGCTCAGGCAGTGCAAATATACAAGACAAAGTCACCAGCCGACATGTGCTTTTTACGAAGGACATAATATGTTGTGA